ACCGTTAGAGTCCCCCACACTTGGGTCTCCCTCTGGGCTTATAAGTGATTTTGGCATTTCGCCCAGTTCGTCAAGTTCGCCGAGACTGCCAGGTGCTTTTATCTGACACTGGTTGTAACAAGTTTGTTTCATTCTGCACAGTACAGGGCGGACTTACTTGTTGTTTGTTGGTGGACCTGGTTACCACTGCAATTTCTTTAAAACAATGCAACCCATTACAACACATCACCCATCTCATCACAAACAACATCTCTCCCTCACACAGAACACGATCCAGCCCAACCCCGGCGATTAACAACCCACACCTGTCTAATGCAATGTTAACATTGATTGCAACTACCTGATGTCAATGTGCACGAGTCTTGCACATTTACAGCACCGTAACGAAATCAACACAAGGGGGTATCAACCCCCCTCACAGCCTCATCCACTCGGCTGCATCCAGGAACCCGCCCATCACGGCGGGCGCCCCTGCTTCAATGAGCTCCTGGCGGCGAGCCGCCTGCTGAGCCAAAGTGACCCAACGCGGGGTAGGCGCCGTCATCCACGCCGGCAGCACACGCCCACGGCGGCGAGGGGTCTCCGCCGGCGGGGTGGAGCCGACGGGCGTGGTGGGAGGTGGGGTCTGGTTCAGATTGAGCGGCGGACTTGCGCGCTCCATCCGGGCCCTGATGATGGGGTTGCGGATGTCGAACAGCGCGCAGAGGTCACGCGGGGTGATGCCCGTCGCCTTCACGTAGCCGATGAGCATTTCGCTCGCGGCACGCGCGTAGCGCCGTGCTTCACGGCACGCCGGATTGCCGTCGTCATAGACGGCCTGCATAGTCGTGGGAGCCTCCCACATCTCTGGCGCCCTCTCATTCGGCGGCTCCATCGCCAGCGGGTCCTCACCCGGCTCGGCGCAAGTCGGCTGATTGTCGTCGACGCGCACGAACTCCGCGGCCGGCATCGCCGAAGGCCCAAGGCCAAGGCGGTCGATGAGGATCCCCACATCGCCCACTGCCTCGTCGAGCTCTGGGAGAGCGCCGTTGCCGCCGGCGGCGCCGTTGCTGCCTGCGCAGCCGTGTCGGACGTGCTCAAGCTGCATCTCCCACGCACGCGGCAGGCACTCGGTGCGCCACCAGCAGCGCTGAATCGTGCGGCGCTCGATGTTCATCCAAGCGTCGAGCAACCAGGCCAGGACGTTGCGGAGGTTCGGCTTGTACCTCGCCATCGCAGACGTGGCCCCGTTCTCGGCCCACTGCGCAGTGAAGGCGCTGAGCCAATGCGCACGGTACCGCGCCTTCGCCGTCGCAATGATCCCCTGATCCAGGGGCTGGGTGAAACATGTAGTGTTAGGAGGCAGGTAGACGATGCGGAGATTACTGAGCTTGCGCGTGCGGAATCCGAACATGTCCTCCGTGTCGGCTCCTTCGGACTTGAGGACATGGCTGCTAGCATTGTCCATGAGGATGACAATGCTTCTCTCCTCGGCGTACATGGCGGCATTTAGTTGCTCCATGAAGTGAGTGAAGACCTGCACGAAATCGGGTTGCGGGACAAAGAAGTGAGTGAATAATGTGAAAGGTAAAACGAGTGACAAATAAACATACTACTCATTCGACTTACCTCGGTCGTCATCCATCCCTTCGACGAAGTGCGCCAGTAGCACACCTCGTCAGGGTTGTAGTCGGGGCGGAAGTCGTGGGGCCTCTTGGCCTTTGATATGACCAAGGGGCGGAACGAATGAGAACCGTCGGCGTTGACGAGGAGGCCGACGGTAAGGCGGTCCTTCGGGATTTTCCGTCCGGCCACGCGCCGATTGCCGTAAGTTTTTCGGGGCAACACAGAGATGTACAGCGCAGTTTCGTCGAAGTTGTACGTATCCCTGGCGGATATCGACAGATGCATCAGCAGCTGCGGAAGCTTCTCACGCGTCGTGCGCACGGCGGCCATGTCCTGGTCCGCCGCCTCTCCCACGGCGCTCAGGCAGCGGACGCCCTGGCGACGCAACGCACGGCGTACCCAGCCGACGGAGCACCGAAACTCCGGCGGAACGCCGTCTATGTCGCGGGCCATGTTCGCGACGTGATCGCGGATGGTCGCAAGCGTGAGGGGAACGCCGGCCGGCCCCGCGTTGGCAATCCAAGCGGCCATTGCGCGCTCAAGTGCGGGGTGTGCGCCGCCCCGCACACGGACCCTGTTACTGTTCGTCGCCGTTGTAGACCATCGTTACGCGCCTTTCAGAACGCGCCCGATCGTCGACCGGTCGGGCCTAACACCGAAGCGGGTAAAACACCAGCGCGCAAGGTCGACGTGGCGCAGCTAGGGGTTTGCGACATGGTGGGCACAGATAGCCCGCTTGATATGAACGGCGAGCTGCGAACGGTGGTAAAGACGAGGCATGGCTAGATTCGGAGGTGAAGAGCTACTGGTGTCGAGTGGAATTCATCAGCACTTTATGGCCGCAGGTGAGCTCTGGTCACCATGGTGCGAGGAGATGGTTTAGCTTTAGGCGAGGATTGCGAAATAGCAAGTGCATGGCATGCATTCACCCGTGAAATTTGGCAGGGGTAGACCCTGTTACCTCAACCACAGGCTGTGACGTGGGCAGGTTGAGCATCGGATGGTTCAGAAGGGGTATGTACCGTGTTGGGGCAAGGTACACGTGGAGTGGTGAACCTTGCTCAAATCTGTTTGAGGCACCATGAACCCGCCTACGTGGCGACCAGTCAAAGACGAATGTGTTTGCGAACCCAACTGTGTTTCGTTCATAACTTTCGCGCAGTTTGAATCGGGTCAACATTACGAGCGGGAATCATGGTTCACAGGCTTTGTCATGTGCTACACGTCCCCGATCTGGCGTCTTCCAGACAGTTGCCCACTTGTTGAACGGGCTTATAGGTGGGGTGCAACCGGCTGGTAAAAAAACCTCGGGTGCAGAGTTTCTAATACGGGCAGGGCAGATTCGCGTGCAGTGGTTGGGCATCGTGTGTAGTCTGATCGGATTTTCCTGACAATACCACACAGACTGTATTTCACGGCACCAGCTGTCGGCTCTCAGACTGAGGTTTACCAGCGAGGTTGCCTTGCCTCGTCGCCACTGTCTTCTCGAGGACTCCACTGGCCGTTGGCGCAAATGGAGTACACTACTTGTACAGCGAAAACAATATCGAGTCGCAGTCAGTCGCTGCTTATGCTTCTACGAGTATCACTTTCCTGCCAGCTTTGCAATTCGAACATCACTAACGCGTCTCAGCCCGACTACTGCTATCCCCGATTTCAACATCTGGACCACGCACGGACGCAAGCACGCTGCGACCGGCGAGACGCCATTGTAGTACCTGCACCAGCTTTCCCAGAGCGCGTCGTAGAGGTACTACTGACCAGCGTGTCTTGCGGGCATGAGCGCCATCGCAGTATGGCACGGAAGCCGCCACGCGCTTCGTCACTTCGACTCGGCAATGGTAGATCTTTCGTCAGAAATGCCTCACCTAGTCGAAGCCGTCGGGAGGGCTTCGCCGAACCTTCCAATCGACGCTCCGGCGGTGGTGGGAACCACCAGTGAGACCGCAACAGCCCCGCCGTCCCCGCCGCATTTCGCGGATCTTTACACCTCCACGCAAGTCTTGTCCGAGTCACCGTCCATGTCGGACTTCCCCCAAGACTCGCCCGCGCCAAACCTTCCCCGCGCCCCCCACAAGTCGGACTTTCCGCAGACCCCACCCGCGATGTGCTCAGACCCGGCGCGGTTAAGCCGCGGCGGACTGCGCCGACACCGCCGCGTCGCGTCGTCCCCGCAATCCGGCCCGTCAGAGTTGGATGGAAGTCTCGACGGCAACGCGGGGCGAGAAGGAACGCAGCGAAAGGTGATGCCCGAGATCGACGGATTTGCCGTGCGGTCCCGCCACAACCGCCGTTCCTCAATCAGCGGCACCAGCAGCGGAAGCACCGAGACGGGCAGCAGGAAAAACAGCGGGCATTGCGGCGACTTGTACGGCAGACAAGAGCTGGTGCGCCTGGTCCCGGCGCGCCAAACCGTAACCGTCTTGGGGTTTTCGCCCAAGTCTCCCTCGATTGTGTCACTCTCGAGAAAGTCACCGCTGCCCAAGTCACCTTCGTCTCAGTCCTTGCCTCCGAGTCGGCCCGGGGGATCGCCCCCGCGTCGATTCTCTTATTCCAGCGACGCCATCCCGCTACAACGAGGCGGCTGTAGCGCCGAAACGCCGCTACAGTTGCCGGAGGGGGTACCGCGCGGGTCGTCGGCCGGGGCGAACAGCCGCATCAACACTCAGCGGAGCCCCTTCAGCACGGCTGGATTCCGCTCGCCGCGCGATGATGACGCGACGGCGTGTGCGACGGAGCTATCTTCCTCTCCCCGCGCCCTGCCGGCGGAGTTATCCCCGCTTTTCTCCCCGCGCGGTACCACTCCCCGCGAGGGTGTCGCGCGGGCGCCTCCGCGGTCCCCGGCGGCCGCCAGACTCGCGGCGGCTCGAGCGTGGAATAAGATGATGGCGATGCCGCCGTTGAGCACGGAGCGATTAACGTCGTCGGCGGAGCTGTCTCCGCACGGCGCTACTACTACCACTCCGCATCAGCGATCCCCGCTTTCCCGTTCCCCACATCCCCGATCTCCGCTTGCGCTGGCTTCTCCCCCGTCCGCGCGCGCCTTCCACGTGGATGAGGGGAGCGCAGAGAGCGCCGAGAAGCTTCTCCGCATCAGCCGAGAGGACTGCATCGGGAGCAGCAGCGTCACCAGCGGCGGCAGCGGCAGCAACAGGAGTAGCAGCAGCGACAGCAGCATTGGCTGCAACATCAGTAGCGACAGTGGCAGCAGCGGCAGCAACAGCAGCAACAGCAGCAGCGGCAGCGGCAGCGGCAGCGGCAGCGGCAGCGGCAGCAGTAGCAGGCGATTAAAACGCGGGCAGCGGGTATCGTTGGAAGGAAGCGCCAGCGCGGAGATCATCACGGCCGCGGAAGCCGCCACAACGGCGACGGCGGCGGCGGCAGGAGCGGCGGCAATGGCTGCGCCGGGCATCCCGCTGGACCTGCTGGAGTCCGCGCGGCGGCTGATGGCGGAGTGCGAGGCGCGCGGAGTGCGCTGGGAGCTGCTGAACGCCGCGGGCGCCTTGAGCGGACGCTCAGCAGAGTGCGCTGTCCGTGGAAGCTCCGTGGAGCATGTCGCTGCAACGTCCCCCATCCCCGCAGGGCCTCCGCCAAGTGCTCCTCGCGCTACTCCCGCTCGTGCTATTCCCGTTTCCCGCCTGCGCCGCGGACGCGTGTCCTCCTGCTCCTCTCTCCCGATCTCCGCCGACGTAACCTCTGCGTTCCCCTCCTCCCCGCTTTCCACTTCCCCGCTTTCCCCATCCCCGCTTTCTCCCCTTTCCGCTGCCGCTGCCTGTGTTCTCTCCGCGCCCGCCGCGCCTTCTCCCGCAAAACCCGGCCCTTCTGAAAGCCCGTCACAGAGGGAACGATCAGGTGCGCCGCAGGGTAACGCGCACGCGCAAGATGCAATTCCCCCCGCCGCGCAGCAACAGCAACAGCAGCAGCAGCAGATGAAGGCGCAGAAGCAGAAGCCGCAGCAGCGACAGCTAATGGTGGAGGGATCTAAACGCGATCGCGTGAAGCAGCTGCGCGTTTTGGGGAAGCACGGAAGCTTCGAGCAACTCTCGGGATTCTTTTCCAATGTGCTCTCCCTCTCCCGAGGCAGCAGCGGGGATGGCTCCACCAATAGCGGATGCAGTAGCCCTTGCCCGACCAATCCGGGCAGCTATATGGAAAAAATCTCGGCGGGAGGGAAAAGTTTGAAGCCGTCGGATTTCGTTGTTCTCAAAATGCGTTATGAGGATATCAAGGGTCGGTATTCGCTTGGGAAGAAGGAGATTGGTGAGGGCAGATTCGGTTCGATCCGAACCTGCTTAGAACGGAGCTCTGGCAACTTCTACGCTTGCAAGACGATTTCTAAGAAGATTATCGAGGTGATTATCATTTTATAGTGTACACCATTTTCATCAGTCTACCTCTTGGTTTCTTTTTCTCGTTGTAGTCACACCAAACCTTTGGTTCATGCCTTATGGTCAACATACCATCTCCTCTAATTTATTATTTCCTCTGATGCCTCTTTTCTGCATTAGTACACACCTTAGATTACCCCCATCCCTAATCAATCCTTCATCTTTTCCTCTCTCTCCACTTTTTTGTTGCAGACTCCTGAGGAAGCAGATGACGTACGGCGTGAGGTGATGTTCCTTGCAACGCTAAAAGGCCACCCCTACATCGTCACACTCAAGGAGGCGCTAGAGGACAAAACGGCCATCCACCTCATCATGGAGCTCTGTCCGGGCGGCGACCTCTTCGAAAGAATCAAATCCCGCGCCCAACTCTCCGAACCCGAAGCAGCTTCAATCGTTCGGCAGCTTCTGGAAGCTCTTATCCACTCCCACTCCTTGGGAATACTCCACCGCGACGTGAAGCCCGAAAACATACTCCTTTGTAGCCCCTCCAGCTGCTCCTCTATAAAGCTCATTGATTTCGGCGTGGCTACAGTGCTGCCGGAGGGTACACTGTGCAACGAGGCAGCTGGAACTCCGGAATACATGGCACCTGAAGTGTATGATGAGAAATACGGTTTTGGCGCCGATGTATGGGGTGCTGGTGTTTCACTCTATGTGATGCTTTCGGGCATCCCGCCCTTTTGGGAGTCGACCAATCGGAGTTTGGAGCAGGCGATAAGGATCAAGAAGGTTTCTTTCAAGCACTGGAAGTGGGCGGACGTGTCGGGGGAAGCAAAGGAGCTTATAACGAGGATGCTGGAGAAAGACCCGAGCAAGCGCATCACTGCCCAGGAGGCTCTAGGTGAGGGTTGGCCTCGGCCTCGGTCTCCCTATTTCCATTCTCATTATAGCTCCTTGATTTTTTTCCTGAATGCCTTGCATGACACCCCACTTTTGGAGAGATTTGGCATTGGGTTTGATCTGGATGCGCATCTCACCATCACCCCGTTCCCATCTGCCATTCTTTCCCTATCTCCCCGCTCCGCAGAGCATCCTTGGATCACCAAGCTTGCTCCAGCTGCAGCATGATTCGTCTGAAGCTCGCTACCTCTGCACACTACCTCTGCAGCACACTACCTCTGCAGCATGATTCCTCTGCAGCATGATTCCTCTGCAGCATGATTCCTCTGCAGCATGATTCCTCTGCAGCATGATTCCTCTGCAGCATGATTCCTCTGCAGCATGATTCCTCTGCAGCATGATTCCTCTGCAGCATGATTCCTCTGCAGCATGATTCCTCTGCAGCATGAATTCTCTGCAGCATGATTCCTCTGCATCATGATTCCTCTGCAGCATGATTCCTCTGCAGCATGATTCCTCTGCAGCATGATTCCTCTGCAGCATGATTCCTCTGCTGCATGATTCCTCTGCAGCATGATTCCTCTGCAGCATGATTTTCGAATCTCACAAGCGCGGCATGAAGGGAGGGCACACATTATGAGTCATGACTGTTCGTCAGAAGCTACCATGCTACAGCCATCATTCCTCCAGAGTGGTGTACATACAGTGGATGGAAACGCCAGGGTAGCTGTCCCCTCTCCCTGCCTAAAGCAGCCAGCAAAAATGACCCACCATTCAGGGTCCCTTTTTTTTATTCTGCCCGGTATGCTCTGCAACCTGGGCTGCATTACGATTCGGCTGCTGCTGGTGTTCTCCCTTCTGCTGCCATTGGTGTCTTTTTTTTTCTCTCTTTTTTTTTTTTTTTTTTTTTTTTTAAATTTCATATTTGTGGGTGGCTGCCCACCTGGACCCACTGTAAGTTGATAGTGATTTCTGGGATTGGCCAGCTCACGGCTGTAAGGCTTGTGTGCGTAGGATTAGTTTTTGGGGCCACTTGGGGATGGCTTTTTAGTGTAGCTTTTTGTCTCCCTCCAGTGGTGCTTTATCTATATTCTTTATGTAACGTCTGCATTGCAATGTACCATATGTAGGAGGAATTTGCTTTGAAATTGTACCTTGTTTTACAATGTTGACGCATAGTGTACCTTCCATACGTGTACTTCCCGTGAGGCTTCCGCCATTAGCCCTCAGAAACAAAGCAGAGAAAGATGGTTAATATTACTCGTTATTTTCCAGTGGTTGACCGTACAACATCAAGCTAGCTTTATTCTGAAGAGCTGTGAAAACCTGTCGCATCTCATGACAGTATCCCATAGCAACATTCGTTTCAAAACATGGCAGTGCGCGTAGCACAGTGCCCCGTGCCAGACCGTAACAAAGGCACAGCACCCCATTCCCCACCACTCGAAACCACACCATTCACAACCACACTCCAAATCCAAATTCAGCAGGCACATTCACCAAGCATGTACACACAGGAAGCGGAGGGTAGAACATGAAGGTATATGGGAACAGGTTATGCTTAGACCTGATGCTGATCAGAGGGGCAGCACGGACAATGATGTAGCTTGGAAAGCTACGGTAATATAAAACGAGAGAAGCGGCAAGGGGGGAACTGGAAATACATTGAGTGAGCTCAGATTAATCGCATGTTAGAGTGGCAGTGCAAAAACAAGTGTAGATGAGAAGCGTGAGTGTGTAAGAGAGAAGTGAAATTGCACCTGTTGTACCAGGAAGGGAGTGACAGACCTGGTCCGCAGCACTGATAGGGGCAGACTCGTTATAGAGCAGACTCGTTATAGAGCAGACTCGTTATAGAGCAGACTCGTTATAGTGCATAGTCGTTATAGAGCAATCTCTACTGCACCGACTGTACTAGGGAAGGGAGAGACTGACCTGGTCAACAGCACTGATAGGAGCAGACTCGTTATACAGCAACCTCTGCTGCACTGAGAGCAGCTCCGTCTGCATGCGCCACAGGAGGCTCATATCCAGCAGCATCACATCGAGGCGCATGGCTGTTTCATGCACGTCCATGGGATCAATGTTGAGAGAGAAGGCACTGCAAGGGGCAGATGGGGGGAGGGGAGGGCAGTGGAGAGAGGGTTTGGGGGGTAGATAGATAGCATGCCTTGCACTCATATTGCACTGAGTGCAGCTCCGTCTGCATGCGCCACAGGAGGCTCATATCCAGCAGCATCACATCGAGGCGCATCGCCGTCTCGTGCACTTCCATGGGATCAATGTTGAGAGAGAAGGCACTGCAAGGGGAGCGGGCAACAGACAGTGCAGGGTGTGTGGATGGGGGGATGGAGAGGATGGGGCAGCTCGTATTCATATCCAGCAGCATCACATCGAGGCGCATTGCTGTTTCGTGCACGTCCATGGGATCAATGTTGAGAGAGAAGGCGCTGCAGGGAGGGTGGGTGGGGGGGGATGGAGAGGAGAATACAGCTAATACGCATTTCCAGCAATATCCAGCCTCATCATTGCCGTCTCGTGTTTTGAGACGTCTCAAAACACTCCTTCTTTCATGTAGCAATATCCAGCCTCATCATTGCCGTCTCGTGCACGCCCATGGGATCAATGTTGAGCGAGAAGGCACTGCAGGGAGGGCGGGTGGCGGAGGAGAGCTCAATCATACATGAACCTTGAAGCAACGTGAGACGTCAAGGGCAGAGCGAGTGCTGCTAATGCACCTGAATGGTAAGGTATGAAGCCAGGGGTGGTGGTGGTGGCGGAAGAAGGTGCCTGGGATGCACCCAGTAAACCCGGAGACATGCAAGCATGAGCGCATGCAGCCAGGAATGCAGGATGTGGCAATGACATACCTGAATGGTAGGGAGAGTGTACACCTGAAATGTACAGAGAGTGACTTTGACACACCTAAAGGGCAGCGAGTGCAGCCAGGGGTGGCGGTAGTGGTGGAAGAAGGTGACTGGGATGCAGCACGTGGGGCTGGCTGAGTCAAAGACAAGCAAGCATGAGTGCAGGGAGTGCAGGCAGGGGTGCAGGTAGTGCCTTTGACCCACCTGAAGGGCAGCGAGTGCAGCCAGGGGTGGCGGTAGTGGTGGAAGAAGGTGACAGGGATACACCCGTTGACCACGGCTTGAGCCATGCACACCATCTCGTGCCAGTGGGAGGCGTCAGGCAGGCACACACAGAACACTGCTCCCTGCATCGCTGCTGCTGCTGCATGTGGGGTTAGCTGAAAGGGGGGAATGGGCAGGGTAGGTACCAGGGGCATATACGTAGGGTGGGGCGGGGAAAACGTTTGCACACAATTGGCACAAGTAAGGAGGCGAGGTGACTTTTGAGTCGACTCAAAAGGAGCATATACGTGGGGTGGGGCGGGGAAAACGATAGCACACGGTTGGCACAAGTAAGGGGGCTTATGCAAACAAATGGACAACATGGCTACCAATCAGAGCTAGGCTACCAATCAGAGCTAGGCGCCCTCGCTTGCGGCTGCAGCAGCACTGCTAACAAGGGAGCGCTGCTTCTTCACTCGCACCTGCAGCAAGGCCCACCCCTTGGGGTTGCTCGTTCCCACCATCTCCATAAACGCCCCTCGCACCGCCTCCCGGTCGAAACCGCCCCCTGCTGCACCCATCCCCTCATTCGAACCATTTCCCTCATCCCTTCTCCGCACATCTTCCTTCCAGCCTTCAGCTCTTCCTGATTCCCCTGCTGTTGCTGCCTCCCCTGCCGCCCGTGTTTCTCCTGTTTCCCCTGCTCCCCCTGCTGCCACTGCTGCTCCTGCTACCCCATCCGCAGATGCCACATCATCGCCTTCCCCCTCTTTCCAGAGACCGTGGCGGTCCCAATAACCACTTCCGCCTTTGCCATCATCATCGCTTCTTTGAGTCGATTTTTTAGTCGACTCAGAAGTTGCTTCCCCTTCCTTCCAAAGGCCGTGGCGATCCCAATCACCACCACCACCGTTATTGCCATCATCACCTGATTGCCTAGTCACGCCTTCACCCAATAGACGCCTGGTTAGACCCTCATTCCCAATAGGGTCTGTGGGCGTGTGCTTGGCATGTGCAAGAGAGGTGGGGTTCTCGTTGGGGATATCCTTGGCAGGTGGAGGAGAGGCGAGAGGGGCGGAGAGGGATGGAGAGTGGTGAGGAGGGGCGGGGAGGGGTGGAGAGCGGTGAGGAGGGCCGAGGAGAACAAGCACGGGGAGGGAGCGGTTGCGGGCATCAGGGGGGATGGGTGGTGTGAGCGGGAGGAGAGGCGGCATGATCACGTCGTTACCAGGTGAGGCGCAATGCATATCCTGTGCTGGCGGGCAGGTGAAGAGGAATGGGACGGGGAAGAGAGAGGAGATCGAAGGGCGGCGTGAGCGGGAGGAGAGGCGGGATGACCAGGTCGTTACCAGGTGAGGCACAGTGCATATCCTGTGCTGGCGGGCAGGGAGAAAGGGAGAGGGAGAGCTAGGGATTTGGAAAGAGGTTAAGAGGGAGCGGTTGCGGGCGTCGGGGGGGATGGGCGGCGTGAGCGGGAGGAGAGGCGGGATGACCACGTTGTTACCAGGTGAGGCGCAGTGCATTCCCTGTCCTGGCGGGCAGTGCATTCCCTGTCCTGGCGGGCAGTGCATTCCCTGTCCTGGCGGGCAGTGCATTCCCTGTCCTGGCGGGCAGTGCATTCCCTGTCCTGGCGGGCAGTGCATTCCCTGTCCTGGCGGGCAGTGCATTCCCTGTCCTGGCGGGCAGTGCATTCCCTGTCCTGGCGGGCAGTGCATTCCCTGTCCTGGCGGGCAGTGCATTCCCTGTCCTGGCGGGCAGTGCATTCCCTGTCCTGGCGGGCAGTGCATTCCCTGTCCTGGCGGGCAGTGCATTCCCTGTCCTGGCGGGCAGTGCATTCCCTGTCCTGGCGGGCAGTGCATTCCCTGTCCTGGCGGGCAGTGCATTCCCTGTCCTGGCGGGCAGTGCATTCCCTGTCCTGGCGGGCAGTGCATTCCCTGTCCTGGCGGGCAGTGCATTCCCTGTCCTGGCGGGCAGTGCATTCCCTGTCCTGGCGGGCAGTGCATTCCCTGTCCTGGCGGGCAGTGCATTCCCTGTCCTGGCGGGCAGGGAGCAAGAGGAGACAGGAAGAGGGTAACTGGGGGTGATGTGGTGTGGAGGTAGGGAGAGTGGGGATGGGCGGTGTGAGGGGGAGGAGAGGCGGGATGAATGGCCACATCACTACCACGTGAGGCACAGTGCATTCCCTGTGCTGGCGGGCAGGCGAAGGGGGAGATGGCAAGAGGGGGAAATGGTGGGGAGTGTGAGTGGGAGGAGATGTACAGCCCTCAAAGTGACTTTTGAGTCGACTCAAAAGTCACCTCGAAAGGCAGAGAGAGAGAACACAAGACACGATTGACTTTTGAGTCGACTCAAAAGTCACGGGAGGAGATGTACAGCCCTCAAAGTGGGTACCCCCGTACTCCTGGAGAGTGGAGGAGTGGTTGGAGAGCCTAGAGGGACTGAGGAGGAAAAGCATGGGGAGGGAGCGGTTGCGCACGTCCGGGAGGGGATGGGCGGTGTGAGGGGGAGGAGAGGCAGGATGGCCACTTCAAGGGTGTGTGACAGGCCTAGGACGACAAGCATCATCCCCACTCCCCTTCGTACCATTACACAATAGTGAGAAATGCAGCAAAATCATCACTCACTCATTCACTGCATACCACCACCACTCACTCACTCACCTTGTACCACCACCACCCACTCACCTCATCAATCTCTAAAGCAATAAGCTGCTTCTTCCCACTCAGCCTCCCAAAACGTCCCTCCGCCTCCCCTGTCCCCAAACCCACACTCTCTCCATCCCACCCTTTCTTCTCTCTCCCCCCTCCTCCTCCCCCAGTCTCTGCCACCTCCCCACCCCCCCTTCTCCTCTCCTTCTTGCTCATCTGCTGCAACTGCAGTTTCTGCTGCCTTATCCCCACACGCCCCCTCACGTCTCCTACCCCCACCCCCTCCTGCTGCTCCTGCTGCCGCTTCTTCCCTGCCAGAGCAGCTTTCAACCGGCCGGCAGCAGTTGTCTGTTTGCTGCCGGCCGCTGCTCTCCTTCTGGCAGCGGCAGCGGCGGCGGCAGCGGGGGTGAGGTGGAGGACAGAGCGGAAGAGGAGGTCTGGGTAGGAGGAAGGCTGGAGTGTGAATAGAGACCCGAGGAGAGAGGGGTTGACGAAAGGGAGGATGCTGGAAGGGGAGGGTGAGAGGGGAGAGAAAGGGAGGGAGGAGGGGGAAGGGACGAAGGAGGGTGAAGTAATGTGAAGAGCAGGTCTGGGTAGGAGGAGGGCTGGAGGGTGAATAGAGACCCGAGGACAGCCGGGTTGACGAAAGAAAGGATGCTGGAAGGGAAGTGGGAGAGGGAAAGAGAAGAAGGCAACAAAAAGAGATGCATCGGCATACTTGCTTGCTGCCAGTCGTGGTTTTCCTTATGTTGGCAGCAGCAGTGTCAGCAGCAGCGGCAGCAGCAGCAGTGGTGGCGGCAGCAGCAGCAGCAGCAGCAGCAGCAGCGGCGGCGGCGGCGGCGGCGGCAGCAGCAGCAGCAGCGGCGGCGGCAGCAGCAGCAGCAGCGGTGGGGGTGAGGTTGAGGAGGGAGCGGAGGAGCAGGTCGGGGTTGGAGGAGGGCTGGAGGTTGAAGAGAGAGCCGAGGAGAGAGGGGCTCACGAAGGGAAAGATATTGACAGGAGGGTTGGGGGGCGAAAGGAGAGACTGGGACGAAGAGGGAAGGAGCCTGGGAACAGGGACAAGTGAGCAGGATTTCGGGTTTAGCGACAGTTACCAGTTACCAGTTGGGCCTCGAGATTCGAGCGACAGTTTTGAGACGTCTCAGAACTAGCTTAGCGATCGTTACCATGTACCCCCGACTCGAACCACAACAAACAACTAACTGCATCGGCCGAACGGGGGTCGCAGTGTGATGCCATGATGAAGTGACCACTACCTCCCCCCACTGCGACTTTTGAGGCGCCTCAAGTAACTTCGAGACTTTGTTGACAGTTCCCAAGTAGCCCCCCACTCGACCCAAAGCACTTACCCACATCGGCCGAATGGGTGCGATGCGATGACAAAGCGATCGCTGCCCCTACTGCGACTTTAGAGGAGCCTCAAAAGCTGACAGTTACCAACCAGGTGAGGTAACCCTTCAGTCGATCTGCAACACTTACCCACATCGGCCGTAGGGGTGTGATGCGATGATAAAGTGATCGCTGCCCCCACTGCGTCGCCAGTAAGGATAATGTGACTGTGACGAAGGGGCATAAGGGCATATGCACGTAGAATAATGTGAATACTTGCAAAAAAAGGCACAAAAACAGACACGCAAGGTTCATGATGAAAGTGGGCGGATCGAGAAGGCATCACTTGCATTTTCTTGACACGTAAACTGTTGTAAGTGGGCAGGAATTTGAAAGCGCACACTCACCTGCATGCACCAAACACAACAAAAAAACACAAACGCAAGCACTTGCACTTCACACCTCCTCACCCTCTCACCTGCACATGCAATTGCACCTCCCCCGCTCACCTGCACATACAATAACGCCTCCCCCACATAACGCCCTGTATCTGCCAGCGCCTCCCAGTGCTCTAACGACAGCTCAAGCCCGTTTCCCCGTGCTGCCGTCTCTCCCTCTGCTGTTTCATCAGCGAGCGCAAGGGAGGGTGCTTCAAGAGAGGGCAGGCGCAGGGCGAGGTGCAGCATAGGCAGCACGGGGAGGAAGAAGAGGGAAGCGGCCTCGGGGTCCACTGTGCGGTGTATGTTGGAGCGCTGCAGTGCCCTGGAAAGGTGGGAGGGGAACAGGGAAGGACGAGGGGGATGCAGCGTAGGAATGATGAGGGGGATGGGGAGGCGGCACGCGGAGGAAGAAGAGGGAAGCGGCCTCAGGGTCCAGTGTGCGGTGTATGTTGGAGCGCTGCAGTGTCCTGAGAGAGGGAGAGGGGAGGGGAGAGGAGAGGTGGAATTGAGATGAGGAGAGGAGGCGAGATGGAGTGGCACGAATAGGGGGCTGTGTTATAGGCATGAAATGAGAACAGAGGCACAGACCTGAACAGTAGGGTGCCTAGATGGAAGCCAAAGAGGTGGTGTGAGGTGAGGCAGTCAGAGAGGTTAACGTTGAACCGTATGAACGTCTATGCAGGCAGGGTATAGACGTGATTCAGGAGGGGTTCGACTTGAAGAGAAGCTCTTACCTGAATAGGAGGTTGTCTAGATGGAAATCGGAGAGGTGGTGTGAGGTGAGGCGGTCAGAGAGGTCAACGTTGAACCGTCTGGGGAGCTCGTAGACGTAGATGAAGTGTGACTGCACGCTCTTGGGCTCGGCCCACCAGCAGTTGGCCGCTGCGAGAGGAGGGGAAAATGAGGAATGATGGAAGGGAGGCAAGGGGGGGTTGGGGGGAATGGGGGGTCTGAGGAACAACAGTGTGTTGAAGAGTCTGGGGAGCTCGTAGCCGTATATGTAGTGCGACTGCACGCTCTTGGGCTCGGCCCACCAGCAGTTGGCCGCTGAGAGGACGGAGAATGAGAAGCCAAGGCAGGGGGAAGCGAAGGTGGGTAGTGTGTGGGAGAGGGCTCCAGAGCATTCATGCCTTTTGAGACATCCGATTTTGAATCAGACTCAGGAAATGAAGCACAGGAGAGGGAAGTGAAGCGAGGAGAAAGAATGAATGACTGAGGGGAGGAACAATGGAGCGGAGGGGATTGAGCGGGGAGGGATGACGTGCAGGCCGGGAATCAGGGAATCGCTGAGTGAAGTGGATCAGGAAATGGACATGGATGGGAGGATGAGAATATTCTAGGTCGGCATTAGCCTCCGGTCTACAAATGGGTGGCATACCAGAGACTAGCGGTAGGCGATCGCATCCCCATGAACTGTCCCACACGAACAGGTGAATCGCGTAAAGCAGGAGAAATGTAGCAAAGAATGCGATGACTAGATTTCGCCACGACAGCCATCGTATTCTCCGGATCAGATTTCGCGCGAATCTCAACACGCGAACGCTTGTGGTAATCCGCTCGTTGTTTTGCGACGCATGAGGTTCCGCGAGATCGAGTTGCGAAAGTGGAAGCCTCCGCTGACGCAGCCTTGATCGTAGAAACTCCATGTCACCATCTTCTACTGCATCGATTCAAAAGAATTTACATAGCGAACGCGGACATCGCTGCTCCATTTGACAAGCATGCCCCTCTTCAGACCAGATGCCAGCATAGGGATTGGATTTAGCGGTCTGCGAGATTGGTGGTTGGGTGGAGAGAGTTTCTAGTTCGCATGCTTTCGTCTTGTCGGAACCATTCTAGGTGTGTCTGACTTCGGGGTCGGCGAAAGTCGACGTAAAGCGACGAAACTCGAAGTCGCACACGCCGTCTGTAGAAAACGTTGGGCAACACAAACCTGTTCGATCAACAGTCCAACGTCGAAAACTGTTCCAGCTCTCCACCGTTGTGGACCGTGTCAGACCAGACGAAACTGCTCTTTGGAGGTAATAGGAGCGCGTTGGACTGGACGGACCAATCCCTGGGGTGGTGTATTGCGGCAAACACGCGGGAAGCAAAAGTGGTTCCCTGTCAGGTCGCTCATGCGACAGGCATCACTCCCGTCGCGAGTTTCGCCCAAACCAAGGCATCTGAAATTCACGGTTCGAGCAACTAGAGATCCATTCTCGAGGCTTCTTGAGATCCGCATTTTCCACTCACCCCCCAGCAACCCAGCTCAACAAGCCCAGGTAGGACCTCTTTCTTCCTCCGTTTCTCGGTTTCTCCATTTTCATCATTTTCCTTCATTTTCTGCCTGTTCCTGGTTCGAGTGAGCCTCCAATTTTCCCGCTTCTGTAGGAGGCCCACAATCTTTGAGCTGAGTCGTCTCTGGTATGGACGCCTTTACCGTTCGCGCGCACGGCGTCTTTACCGGCTCACTGTTTTTAACGGCTTCCATTCCGACAAAAAACAATACTTAAGCGCATCTCGGCTTCTCCGAGTTTTGCACTCACAGTTTTGAGGGTCTGGATCTCTTCTTCTGAGAAGCCGCCATTACTCCGGGCAGCATCTGTGTGTCATAATTCGTCTTTCGCTGGTCAGAATTCGAAGAAATTCCTTTACAGGCTATCGCACCGGATGACCTTACGACAATGGCATAGCTGTAGCAGCTGACTGCGCGACGCTGACTGCAGCTGCTCAGTGCAGCAATCGCGTGTACTCTCATCGTCAGAACCTTAACTTGAACATTTTCGCGTGAATGATGCTTAAGCCTATCAAAAATGAGTCCGGGAGGATATGAGGAGCCCTGATTGGGTGAACTGACTTGACCGTCCACCGTCTCACTTGACCATTTACCATCTCACGATCCAACCCCTCACATGACCGCTCACCGTCTCACTTGACAGCCGACCCTTCGTCCACAACTCCTCAGCCTTCAAAAGAACGTCGCGTGCGATCCATCGCGCGCATCTCGGCCGTCCATCTCCACCGGTGAATTCTCACCTCCTTGCCTGTGCGCCACCATGCTTCTTGTCTCGTGGCTCAACTCGCTGCGACGATGCTTCAGCACGCCGTTCCTTATCCTCGTCTTCAGCATCTACTGGGCACAGTTGATATGTTGCAAGGGCTACGAGACGAGTACTGACTGGTTTTGACGCATTTTGACCATGTTATGACAGATTTTGACCAAGATTTACGGTTTTTGACAGCTTTCACCGAGGTTTTACGGGTTGTATGGCTATGAGACATCTCTTAAGCGGCTTCTTCTCACTTACCACTTCGCCGTTTTTCACCCCTTCTCCACTCATTCGCATCCCCTTCTCCTAGACGGCCATCAGCGTTCTGTTGAAGGTGCATCTTAAGTCGGTCCTTTTGCTCATGCCTCATTCCCTCCCTTCACCCTTCCACCGTGCTTCACCGCTCCCCCACTCACTCATACCTCTCAGGGCTTCCGCGCGTTTCCCTGGACTGAAAGCGGCTTCTTGGTAAAGGACCATCTGAAGCAGGACCTGCACGTGCCCGTGCCATCACATTCACACTCTTCAGGTTTCAGTGCGTTCCCCTGGACGGGCATCAGCATTCTGGTGAAGGACCATCTGAAGCTGGGCCCAGCAGCAGCGCAGCTCATGACCTCCACTGCCTACATGCCGTGGAGCGTGAAGCCATTATATGGGTGAGTGTAGGTAGGGCCCCACATGAGTGAGTGTGGATGTGAAGGTCTTGAACACTCCTGACTGAACTCAGCAGCGCAGCTCATGACCTTCATTGCCTGCATGCCGTGGAGCATGAAGAGGTTGTTCAGGTGAGTGTTGGGCCCCTCATAGGTGGATATAGGGCCCCTCGTGGGTGAGTGTAAGCGCTCTATATCGACCCAAGCGCAGCTCATGACCTCATGAGCGTTGAAGCCCTTCACAGGTGAGTGTGCACATCAGCATGAGATGGATTTCAAGGTGCCTTATGTACACACACACACACACACACACACACACACACACACACACACGCACACACACACATATAGTATACATATATGTATACATTCATATCTACATACATATATGTGAGTGTCAGTGCGAAACAGTTTTGTGGCTGGATGCACTCGTTTCATCCTCCTCACTTGACCCTCCCTTTCACCTAACTCAATGCCCCTAATCTCTTGAGCTCCGCCGCCCCTCACGCCCTTCACTCCCCCTCTGCAGAATCCTATCTTATGTGCGCCTATAGGAGGTGGCCAGCGCATCCCCTAGATCATCATCGCCAACACTCTTCTCATCACTACCCCGCTTCCTGTGCCTGCCCCCTCCGTTCATCCCCGCTGAGGACCTTATCTGACTGTGTGCCTATAAGGGGCACCCCGAGGTTCTCGCCTAGCAAGGCTCTTCACAATATCAGTGCTAGGCTCCATCAATTGCTCAGTAGTTGTAAGCAGTTTCTCGTCATCTAATTCCTCGCACTCTATCCGCTTACAACCCATAAGAGGTACTGTTTTGAACAGATTATTATCTTACTTTAATAAGGGACAAAGACACAAACTCCTAAGCATTCACAATCTGCCCTGCGCAGCAAGAGCTTCCCCATGCTTAGCAATCACAACTGGCTTGAGCAGCTTCATGAGCCTAACAGCCTCCTTAGCCTCTAACTCACCCTCACCATACCTCTCCTGCAGCTCCTTCACACGGGATTTCAACCCTGCAACCTTCCTTGCCGCCTTCTCCCTTTCCACCATCGCAATTTGCAACTCTTGCCTTCTCTCTAAGACCAACGTCTCAGCTTTCTTCACCTTCCTGCTCATTGCTCCTGCCACTCTCCCTGCCTGAGCCTTCACTACTTCAGCCTCCTCCCGCTGCATCCTTGCTCCCAAGGTCCGAGCCGTAGACTCAGCACTCATGGCGAGGCGCATATCTTCATTAGCTTCACTCAGAATCCTCGTCTGTTCGTCGGCCATCTCCCGTGCGTCCGCCAGCTTAGCTTCTGCCTGTGCCAGGTCTTTTTCGCCTTCCTTCACCTGGAAAACCGCAAATTCCGCATCGCCCTCCGCATTATCCAGCTCTTCACGCGCCCTCTTCAGCTTCCGGAAGCCCTCTGACCCCCGAGCCTCAGCTGTGGAAGATTTCCAAGCCTGGACTTCGGCTCGGAGGCTCTCCAGCAATCCCCGAGCCACCACCTCCTCTGCGTCTGCTGCTGCAATCTTGTACACAGCTTCGGTCGACTTGTGCAAGCCTAGACTCTTCTGCTGCGAACTCTTGTCTTGAGAACCGTGTGCAGCATCCATCACTTCGACATGGGGCGCTTCGACTTCCGTGAGATAAAGGTCGTCTTTGTCACTCCAGAATGGCACCCCACGAACATTTTCTGGTCCGTTCGATGGAGGTCCGTTGGAATTCCCGTTGTTTAAAGAGCCAGTGAGCAGAGGTGACAACGACGCGCCATGATTGGCCTGTCTTTTTTTATTGCTCTCATCATCATTCTCTGTGACATCTGCGACGGAACCCAATGCAACTGGCGGCGCGCCACGGGTTTCATCTCGGCTTGTTGAGGATGGCGATTGGACGATTCCGAGAATGGCACGTTCAGATTCAGGAAAGGATCTCATTGCACGTTTAAATACTGCAAGATAATCTCGCAACGTCGCGTTAGTAATCTTCTCCGCTTCCATTGCCTGCGGGAGCCGCTGCTCCCAGGCTTTAAGTATCTCGTCGCGACACGTCACTATGATGCTGTACGACGCCACTTTGTCGCGCAGTCGCAGAACCTTCCGTGCGAGTCTCGCAGCAAGTCGCTCTGCGACGAGTTTCGCCTCGCCCGCTGTTACCAGCGACAGCCGGACGTCCTCCGACTCTTGCTCGTACATGCGCTTCGCGGTTTTTTCGACTATCACGGAAAGCTCGTCGACGACTTTCCGTTGCTCCTTCAGTCGCGCTGACGTCACGTTGAGCTTCCCCCGCGCGCCCACCGCCTCCTGGATCTTCCCGTTTGCATCGGCGATGCTATCTTTGAGCGACCGGAATTCGCGGAGAAGCACGAGCGTCTGCTGTGTCGCTTCCACGGCCCGCGCTTTCCGCGTGACCAGCTCAGACAGGAGTCCGGCCTGTACTGTCCTGTCCTTGCCGAAACTTGATAATCCGTCTGCAGCGACGGCGCTGGTAGTTCTTGTCATAGTCATCTTAGTTGGGATTTTGTTAGACGCTCCGTTTGAGGTCGAAATAACATTTTCACGTGTTTGACAGGACGCAGGTGCGAAATGGAAAACAGCGGCGAGGGTAAGAATTAGTACCATGATGGTAAGTGGTTGTTTGCTGACGCCCCCGCGAAAATATTGTCGGTGCGACACGTCCATCCTTCCAAGAAGTAATTTTGGAAGTGAATGCGCTGTACCATGTGTCGACATAGCTAGGAAGTAGACCACTACTAGCTCGAAAGAGAGTTCCTTACGTAGAACGGGATCTGCTAGCTTTTGGGAGGTGGTGTCTGTCGAGAAAGAAATTCCCTTCCAGGAGAGGACGCTTCGATTTTTCCTTTTACGAAGCGCATAGCCCGTCTCCAGCGAGGTCGTACTGCTCTTTACCACAGTACATCCTGGGCGGCTGGAGTGACACCGAGTTACCCGAACCAAACCCATGTGGTCGGTGGGAAGGTTCGACTCGGGGAAGGAACAGAGTTGCGGGGCATCCCGCGGGTGGGAGTGGAGTGGAGGAGAGGGGGAGTGAGCAACAGAGAAGTGCTGGAAGAAGATGGTTGGAGTGTGGGAACCATATGGGTGGAAGTTGTAGGCCTTGGGGGCAGTAGAAACGACATGTTCCATGTCCGGGTAGAAATGCCCGCGACATTTTGTCATTTTTGGGGGAAGCTTCTGTATCGGCTGGATGGAGAAACGACTAGCTCCATGTTCTGGCAAAGTGCTGGAAGAACATCGTCATGCCAGAGAGGAAAAGCATGTTTCAAGAGGAGTCTTTTGGCTTTTGGGGGGAAGGGCTTTTAGCGAACAGCTGTCATTGACCTCTGTATTTGGAAGTTCTCAACAGAACACTGTCCTCGCAACTGTGATGAGTTGGGAATGAAGATTGAGTATAATTCAATTTTACAAAATTAATTACTACTCATGAATTAATGAATCATAGCGTAAGGCTAGCTAGGTGGGTCCGCAGGCTCGCGAAAGCTATGCTAGCTAAACCCGAAGGCGAGGTCGTCGGACCGAACCTGACCTTCCAAAATACGAATTTGTACGCGTATGAAGTGACCAAGGAAAGATGAATTTTAGATCTCGATTGTTGATGATCGTCGAAAGTGTTACGAATAGTAAAATGAAGTGTTACTGTGCTTTCCTGCCTCTAGCAAGAGCCAAGAACTCATAAGAGGGTATCAAGGCGAAGGGTCGAAGCGATGCGCACGGTTACGAAGCATATGGACCGTCGGAGCAAACAACATTGGGCAGCTACATAAGCGAGGAATTTGGCGGGAATAGTTTCGTAGCTGTACGCGCAGCACGATTGGGTTTGAATCCGAATAAGGGAAGGAAATATACCCCTTATTACAATCCTAAAACAGAGTTAGCCAGGGATCGGCTCAGGGTTGTTTGCAGGTGGTGTTGCAGCAGAAGTATTTACCGCATGTTAGAGTGAATGTAAAATGACTTAGATGATTAAAACATGTACAAATCGAGTTTATATAGGAAATACAAGGAATACGAAAAGACATGGACTAGCCATGTACTATAAGGGGTACATTCCATGCGGCGCGGGAACCCGTTTCAAGCATGTTCTCGCTCTTTTCAGTTCAAATGTTTCCGCCTGCATAGATCCAGATCTGAGGGTTGCCGGTGTCGCTTCGACTCTTCCAGTGTCAGAACATTATAGCTTATGCTTTTGTGTAGGCTGTAGTGGGGTAGCCCATATGGGGTACAACCCAATTAGGGTTAGTACTTGTACCCAACTGTTTCATAGTTCATTCATTCTCGTTTCAATTCTCACATGGTATCGAGCAGGTTCCCTCGTGGGAACTGTTCATAGGGCCCACCAATTCGACATTTTTTTTTTCCTGCCCGGAGCGCACTCAGCCCTAGCCCGAGTTGCGCTCCCCCCTTTCTCGCCCCGTCGCGCCGCCCTAGCGGCCCCGTCGCCGGCCTTGCGGCCCTCGCGCCGCCCTTCCTGGCCCCGACCCGCCGCCCTGCGGCCTCGTCGCCTACCCCGCGGCCATCGCGCCGCCCTTTCCCGGCCCCGATCCGCCGCCCTGCGGCCTCGTCGCCTACCCAGCAGCCCTCGCGCCACCCTGCGGCCCTGACGCCGCCCTTACCGGCCCCAGCGCCTACCTGCGGCCCCGACGCCTACCTGTGCGGCCCCGGCGCCTACCTGCTGGCCCCGCCACCTACCTGCGGCCCCGCCACCTACCAGCGGCCCCGCCACCTACCTGCGGCCCCGCCACCTACCCACGGCCCCGCCACCTACCTGTGCGGCCCCGGCACCTACCTGCTGGCCCCGCCACCTACCTGCGGCCCCGCCACCTACCAGCGGCCCCGCCACCTACCTGCGGCCCCGCCACCTACCCGCGGCCCCGCCACCTACCTGTGCGGCCCCGGCACCTACCTGCTGGCCCCGCCACCTACCTGCGGCCCCGCCACCTACCAACGGCCCCGCCACCTACCTGCGGCCCCGCCACCTACCCGCGGCCCCGCCACCTATCTGTGCGGCCCCGGCGCCTACCTGCGGCCCCGCCACCTACCTGCGGCCCCACCACCTACCTGCGGCCCCGCCACCTACCAGCGGCCCCGCCACCTACCTGCAGCCCCGCCACCTACCTTTGCGGCCCCGCCGCCTCCTCTCAGCGGCCCCGCCACCTACCTGCGGCCCCGCCACCTACCAACGGCCCCGCCACCTACCTGCGGCCCCGCCACCTACCCGCGGCCCCGCCACCTATCTGTGCGACCCCGGCGCCTACCTGCGGCCCCGCCACCTACCTGCGGCCCCGCCACCTACCTGCGGCCCCGCCACCTACCAGCGGCCCCGCCACCTACCTGCGGCCCCGCCACCTACCTTTGCGGCCCCGCCGCCTCCTCTCAGCGGCCCCGCCACCTACCTTTGCGGCCCCGCCGCCTCCTCTCAGCGGCCCCGCCGCCTCCTCCCAGCGGCTCCAGATGCCGCCCTCTCAGCGGCCCCGCCGAACCGCCCAGCAGCCGAGCCGCCCAGCAGCCGAGCCGCCCAGCAGCCGAGCAGCCGAGCCGCCGAGCCGCC